CATGCACAAGCATGGAGCCCGCTAACCAAAAAAACTGATCACTACTCACACGTTTTCTGTACCACTATGTTAAGAAATCCCGAGCGTACAACCCACAACCACAAATATGACTGTAAGAATCGTCGAAATCCCTCAACTAGCACCACAAGATGTGAAAACAACAATTCCGATCGTGAACTCAGGCTAGACTCGCTACTACGATGATTTCATGCAACAATGTGGAGAATTGGACTACTCACGAATACTAATCGTCCTCGCTCGTATCCGATTATTATAGCTTGCCATCAATCCACCTTGAAACACTACTTCCTCATCGGTTCGCGGCCTATGTAGACGACTAAAATAAGGTAACATACGGAGTTCCATTAGTTTGCCAAGGTTTTCCAAGCGTGCAACCCCACAACCACAAACGTAGTAGCAAGAATTTGCCGGAATCCCAAAACTCACACAGATTCCCCATCAAGGAATATTTGTCGTGTTGTACCACAGCTTCGCCGAATGAATCCCCGAACTACGTATCCTGAAACAACAAAAAGCCGTTACAAGAAATAGTTGAAAACACCCAAACTAACATAAAGCACAACGTCAACGAAGGAACTATTTATCGAAGGCAAGACGAATAATATCGGCTTCATAGATACGAGGTTGAGTCTGCGTCGTTCCTAGCCAATGGCCAGGTCAACATTCCCGGCCTCGAAGCTATGATTTCCGCCTCGCCCCCGGTGAGAATTCTGTGTGCATTCTACTAGCGTCTGGCAATGCACCTACACAACCTACCTCAGGTTCGGAGAAGTCCCCAAGCTTGAATAACTAAATTTTAGATATTCAAGCTTAAGTTGACCACCTTCCCCTAAAGAGCTTTACATTGAAACCCTTGTAAAATTGTAGTGAACACCCGACTGACAGTAACACAATAATGGGTCAAAACTTGAGAAAATGTGATAATAACACCAATTTTTTTTTAATGAAATCCAAAGTGGGTATTAATATTCATTTTGACACTTTTTTTTCCAAAAAATATTTTTTGTGGGCCGTAAAAATGGAAAATACGGGAAAAAAGACGGTAATTAGATAAACTGGAAAAGTTGTTGAAATAGCCCTAGAACATGGGAAAAAGGTTTGGAATGGTATGGGGATGTAATTTTGAAACTTTGGTACATTCCTTATTACCCTTTTTTTGACAGCTGGAAAACAAGTCTTATTAATAAAAGACCCTTACATACCCACTACATCTGGTATATATTTCCAGTTCATGGGTATGGACACTACATTAGCAGACTTCCAATACTGAGAATCAAGTTCATGATACTGACTCAAAGACGTTAAACTAGAAATGCAAGAACCATAGCTAACATTCGAAACAAAATTTTTACGGTAGGGAGGGGGATTAGAAAAGGGGGGGTTAACATTCTTCCTCTTCTTGCCAATGAGGGCCTGCAACCAGAAAAATTGTTAGTAGAAATGGTAGGGATAGCACTCCTCGTGATCATCCGTCTTCTCTTTCCCTTGTTCCATTGTCGAGACGCTTTCTTTCTAGCTGATTGTCGACATATCCACCTTAACTTGCCCTTGGACTTGCATTGAAAATGAAGATTGATGGAGCTAGTAAAAGATGAACTAGGTGAGACAGTAGTGACTTCCATAGAAGAGTAGACCTCTTCCTTTTGCTCAACATCACATGAAGTTCTGTTTGGGTATTTGCAGAACACTTCCCCTTCGTCTCATCTATAACCTCCGACTCCTTTTCCTAGTTTCCCATGTCTCATCTATAACCTCCCTTATTACCCTTACTACTCGTTTTTCGAGGTTGTTTTTTACCAGGAATGTGCCTATTGAACCTGGGACATGATGATTGAGGGACAGTTTGTGTGTAATTGATAATGGAATATGAGATGAGATGTGATACTTAGATTACAAACATGAATAGTTCTAGTATGATGATTCCATGAAAGTATTATTACTACTACCTCCGTTACATATTATTTGCAACGATTTGACATAAAGTAGAGAGGAAAAATGTCTAATCGTTGCACATAATATGTAACGGAGGTAGTATCTATAGTCTATCAATCGACACATCAATCAACACACATGTGAATAGTAGTCTGATTATCCATAGTTACATCATATATAACATGTGTTCTTTTCCAATTCCAAACCATAGTGTGAAGTCACATCACATCACTATTGTCAAGTCCCATCATATTATGACATCACATCATTATAAATATAATTACATAATATGACATTATTATACTTATATGACATCATTAGATTCATATGACATCATGATTTTCAAGTCAAATCACTTCAATATACTTATATGACATTATTATTGTCAATTAATATCTTTTTTTTACGGGATTGTCAATTAATATCACTTCCATCATTATTATATAACATTATTATTGTCAAGTCACATCATTTCATGACATTATAATATACTTTTATGACATCATTCTAATCATATGACATCATTATTGTCAAGTAATATCACTTCAATATACTTTTGTGACATCATTATATTCCAAAATTTCAAAATAGAAACATAACTCATTCTTGGTACTTTATACACATCTTTATAGGTGTGTTATGGTATCAAACCACCTTATATGACCCTGGGAGTCACCCCACGTATTCAGTTCAGTTTTTGAAAAAATGTCAAAAATGACCCGAAATCGTGTATACCTTCAATTTTGGACATTTTTTCACTTTTTTAGACCCGAAAATAAAAATTGCCGAGATACTTCCCATGACCCTAATACACCCCGGGATTCTGTTTGTGTGGGTAAAACCATCCAATATACCTTCAAACTATCAATTTACCCGTTTACAACTTGCACCGATTTAATAAACTCGAGGCTACCACGGACATTTATGGCAACATATAATGATCATATATGGTTCTAAACGACATTACATGACCCTGGGATGTAACCCTTGGTATCTCGAGACTTTTCGACACCGGGTCCGAAACATCTAAAATTGGTCAAAAAACGTGTATTATAGCCTTTAATTTTGCCAATTTTTGACTTTTTTTTACCTGGAAATAAAAATTGCCGAGAAGCTACCCATAGACCCTAATACCCTCCGGGAGTCCAATTGGGTGGGTGAAACCATCCAATTTTCCTTTAAGCATCTAATTTACCAGTTTCCGTACACACCACTTGTATTGACTATAAGCTTCCACGGGGCCTTTATGTAGTCGACTTATGGTTGTATATGGGTCCAAACAACATCATATGACCTCGGGATGCATCCCGTAAAATTGTGAGAATTTCTGACACCGGGTCCGGACACCTACTAAATTGCTCCGATTTCGTGTATTATAGCCTTTAAATCTGGCTTCCGTACATCATTTTTTCACCCGACAAGATTATGCATCCAAGTACTTCCATGGGTTCCCAAATGGCCTTGGGAGTCATGGATGATGCCCAGAACCATCTCATTCATCCTTAAACACCATGTAACAATGGCATACCCTCCAACGACAAAACTAGTTGTTTGTATGCCTTGGGTGCACATGTCTTGTGCACATGACACACGCCCCCTTGCACCATCCCACACCCCAACACTTTGGCTTTGTCAATTGTCTCAATCCACGTACTACTTAGCATTTTTTAGCATATAAGAAGCAACGCTAACCTCGTTTTCCAAAATATAGGTGTTTTTAGGGAATAAGATGAGGGGGACAAATCGAAGCGATATAGGGCTGAATCTCAGTGGATTGTGGCAGCAAGACCACTCTGCTACTTACAATACCCCGACGCGTATTTAAGTCGTCTGCAAAGGATTCAACCCGCCGCTCGATAGGAATTGTACCTCAAAGCGGCTCTCACGGCGCATCCACCGCGCGAGCTTAGCCTACGACACGTGCCCTTAGGGGCCGAAGCTCCTACTGTAGGACAGAAATCGGGGGGCGGGCGTATGCATCGCTTCTGGCCCGGATTCTGACTAAGAGGCGTTCATAATCCAGCACACGGTAGCTTCGCGCCACTGGCTTTTCAACCAAGCGCGATGACCAATTGTGTGAACGGTTCCTCTCGTACTAGGTTGAATTACCATTGCGACACTGTCATCAGTAGGGTAAAACTAACCTGTCTCACGACATTGTAAACCCAACTCACGTTCCCTATTGGTGGGTGAATAATCCAACACTTGGTGAATTCTACTTCACAATGATAGGAAGAGCCGACATCGAAGGATCAAAAAACAACGTCGCTATGAATGCTTGGCTGCCACAAGCCAGTTATCCCTATGGTAACTTTTTCTGACACCTTTAGCTTTAAATTCAAAAGGTCTAAAGGATTTTTAGGCCACGCTTTCACGGTTCATATTCGTACTGAAAATCAGAATCAAACGAGCTTTTGATTTGCGTCCTTTATACAATTCAGTTCATTGCCATATCAGCTCCATTAGGAGTAGAAATTGTCTTTCTGTTGAAAGTAGCAAGATTAAAGTACACATAAATCCATTAGTCCACTTCCAAAACTTTTAATTTTTGATGTCGGGTTCCTAAAAACTTTCTTTTCAAAGTTCAATAACAAAACATGTACACTTTCTTGATCCCTTGCAAATTTCGGTACATATCATGTTGTCTTTATCCCAATGTCAGTGTTATTTTTTCTCGGAAAAAAAGGAAAAGAAAAAACGCCCGTGCATCACATTACCTATTAACAAGCATCAAGCGTTCCCAAATCCAAAAACCACTTGTGTGTTTGCCCAGATTATCTCACTAACTAAAGAAGTAAAATTGCAAGCCCTTATATTATTTCCCTTGTTGTAGCTCAAATTACATCATGGAACTTCTAACAAAACAGGTCTAATTAGAATTTACTAAGTTAAGAATTCCTCTGTGAGGTCGTGATGTACTTTCCAAATTTTTGTTTTCGTTCTGTTTTCTCTTTTACTACCATAAAATCAACTATTCAAAGTTAGTTGACACCCACACCCTTAGAGAAGCTGGACTCATGAGATGACTAATGCCTGTCACCATGATGTAATAGAGAAGTCCCAACCATTATGCTGATGAACACACCATTTTTAAGGCAGCCAAACAGGAAGAAATCACTGAAAATTGCTGAATTAAACATCATAATAATTTATAGAGAGTACAGTACGACATTTCCTTCTGCTCTTACACAAGTAGAGCACCTCAATCATCAATTTTCTTTCTCAATGATGGTAGCTTCATCTTGGTAGCATGAAATGCATTTGTGAAAATTTGTTGTATGAATCCATGCCTAGGTTTCTCTGTTGTAGTAATCAACCATTCATAGTCAGTCAATGCTGATTCAGATAATGGCTCCAAGAATTCGCATTTATGTAAGATGTCAGGCGGTGGAATTCCAGATATCAGATTTGTGGTCAGCTTTGGGGCGCCCTTGGGAAGGACTTCAGAAGGTACATTTTCTAAGGCAGATGGCAATGAACCAGGATAAACTCCTTGCTTAAATGGAAGCTCTCGAGCAGGTTGTAGGCAGAAGTCTAACCACTGATGAATAAGTGGAGATGGCCCTCTGATTCGCCCTCCAAGTTTTTCCATTGGTGGGCATTTAGTTGTAGCTGGCACAGCCTACATCGTTGATTTGTACAAAAAAGTATTATCAGAAGATTACACAGGCAACTTTTTCTGTCACAGATTTGCAACAAAATCACACTATGGTCAAAATCTTAGCACTGACTGAATATTGGAATACAAGATGACTTATATTATTAAGTCAAAAGAAAGTATGAAGATACATAAATCTACTTCATGCTCAAGCTAATTAATAAATAATAGCCTCTCCACCCCCAAATAATCTTCTTGTTGACCATTTGGGAGGTCTGAAAAGTATTCTTATTAAGCATTAAGCTAAGTAAACTTACTTGAACGATCAGCAAGCTTAATTAACTGCTGAAGTTTAAATGCCATAAATTAAATAGGGAGTTTAGTTCACAATAGGCAAACCATAACACATTTCAAATAGATATTAAAAGTTAGGATACTGTTCTAACATAATATTTGCAGAAACATACCCACAGATCTGCCCACAAACTGGCTCCTGACGTTGGAGCAATAACTGCAACATTTGACATTCGCTTGGCAGCAGGAAGGATGTCACTACTCCATCCAACAGCCACCCAAGCATCACCTACACTGAATGCCTTCAGATAGTTTTCGCTGTCAAATAACAAAACCTGCATAAAAAAGTGACGCGGCATGGAAAGTGTCAGTGATACAATCACACAAAAAACACCATTCTTCATTAACACAGCAAAAGAGAAAATGAAGCTACTCCCTCCTCCTGGAAATAACAAATTTCATGTATACCACCTAGGACGTCCAGAAAAATAGCTGTCATATTTCCTAACGTTGTGATTGTAATTAGTTTTTACCATTATTCAGTAATAGGAAGAGTATGAGAAACTGAGAATGGTCCAACTGTCACAAAGGGTCTTTCGTTTATGATGGCTCAGGGGAATCTGACTATTATTTTCAGGTGAGGGAATATGTTCCAAGATGCTCAAAAGCAGCAGATCACAAGCCAATTATATATAGAAGAAATTAATACAACTTCCTTCGAAAGAAGAATAGGTGAAACAGAATCTTAAGAGTTGGAGCTTATAAAAGGCCTCAAGCTACCTTTAACATACTGTACCAATATCCTAATGCCTATAATCAAGATCCCACCTAGGATAAAGTTGGGTGTAAATCCAGAAATGTATGCAGCATTGTAGCCTTGTTTAAAATTGTAAGGATGCCCTTTCAGTATTCCCCATGAATGCAAAGAGGCTGATTTTGTTACACCCTTGATTTGGAGGACCAACTAATAGGCCAACTAATTCACAGCAAATAAGAAGTAAAGAACAAATAAACGATAATATTAAACTTAGCCCATAGTAATTCAAAGTTGAATAGTTACCAGTACAGGATCTCGAATGGGTTCAGGTTGAAAATCTGCAACCTTGCCCGTGAAATTGCCAAGAGTATATTTCTAATAACAACAGCTTCTAATTTCCCCAAAAATTCCAATTTCATTCAACATGATCTCTTAACAGTAAACTGCTCTAGTCTACAGAAAACAATGTTTAAATTTTTTTAAAAAAGGGTGAATTACTAAAATAAATTGGGCAATTTTTTAAAAAAAATTTATAGTACAGGTTACATTGCCATGAACTCATGATGCCCATAACCAACTTTATCCAATTATCCATATGTTTCGTTTACCACACGTAGTACATAGACTATATATTGGCTCACCATTAACAAGAATATGTACATCATTCATTCAGCATTACCCACCAGTCCAAGTGTTCACTTTCTTTTAATACCTGTTTTGCAAGTAGAGCAAGATTCTGCTGTACAGCACTTGTCCCGCCAGGAATCTCTTTCACATCTATCTATCTATCTATCTATCTATCTATCTATCTATCTATCTATCTATCTATCTATCTATCTATCTATCTATCTATCTATCTATCTATCTATCTATCTATCTATCT